GATGACTGGTGTCGTCCTTGCCGCTGGCATGTTGCCTGCTGCTGCTGCTGCTGCCCGGGAGCTGCCGTCCGCGGTCGCGGTGGTAGCGGTGGCGTTGCAGGGCGTCGCCCAGTTCGCTGCATTGCTGCCTGCTCTCGCGCGCCGTTCCCTTAACCTCCCCCTGAGACTTGAAGGTCCCTTCCGATGATAGATTCTCCCTGCGATCTCGAAGTCAATACGGGAGTCTGGGTCTGTGCAGCGCTTGGCTTGCTGCGTTCGTGGCACCCGAAGCAAAAGGGCTCGCTGGCCATGACTGGCGCGCCCTCGACGACACCCGACCGCGCCATCGCGTGGTCCGCGTCCTGCCGTCAGTGCGGGCGCTGGATCTTGGCTGTGCCTCGCTTGATCTGCTGGCCGTCGCGGCTCCAGCCTCGCCTTCTGCCGCTTCCTCTCGCTGCTGCTTCTGCGCGGGCGGGTGCTGGTGCTGCTGCGGCTGCTGCCCGTCGCGCGGCGCCGCGACCTGGGCTGCCCGGCCGCGCACTTTCCAGAGCGCGCCTTGCGCCCACCTCATGCCGAACCTATCGGCCAGGAAGGCGCGCCGCCGCTGGCAGGCCGCCGCCTGCTCCACGAGCGATCTGTGTTCGGCGATCGCGGCGTCGAGGGCACCAGCTGCCAGCCGCCGCGCGGCTCGTCGGCGCCCGCGGCGACGGGCCCGTCGAGCGAAGGCTGCCTGGCGCGTTGCCCGCTCGTTGTCGCCTGCTCAGCGCAGCTTCTCGTGGCCCTGCTGCGTCTCCCTTGCCTCCTCCTGCTGCTCCACCGCCGCTTCCCCTTGGGCCTCCTCGAATTGTTCGTCGCCTGGCCGCTGCAGCTGGTGGCGGTGCTGTCGCTTGTTCTTGTCGTAGTGGTGGTGGTGGCGGTGGAAGTGGTGGCGGTAGTGGTGGTGGTCGCGCCGCTGCAGCTGCCGGTCGCCTTGGTTGCGCGGGTCCTGCTGCTGGTCGCAGTCGTGGTGGAGGCGCGGTTGGCCGCCGTCGCTGCGGCGGCGGTGTTGCTGGTTTCTTAGCGGCGGCCTCGAGCGCTCGCGTCGCGCAGGCATCCACGGGCCCTCGGCCAGACACCTGGGTCGGGCGGCGGCGGCCCCGAGGCCGTTGGGGGGCCCGGGTGCGGGGCCCGCAGGCGGCCCAGAGCCTGCTCTGCGCTCGGCCGCTTGTTTTCAGTCGCCTGCTCCTCGCGTCCTCTGCCTCTTGCTTCCTGTCTGCCTCCTCTCCTCGAAGCTGCCCTCTGCGCCTTCGCCGCGCTTGGTCCCTGGTATTCGGCCCCTCCTGGTTGCGCCTGCGCCTCGCCGCCTCTTCCACCTCGGCCTCCTGCGCCTCCTCCCGGCCCGCTCTCCTCGGGCGGCCTCCTGGCTCCTTCTCTTCCTTTGCCTCGGCGTCTGGCGCGGCTCTGCCCTGGCTTCGCCCGGCTTCGCCCTCCGCCCTGCGCGCGGCCCCCCTTCAGCAGCAGCGGCTGTCTCTCGGCAGCCTCCGCCGCCGTCGGCCTGCATGGCGGGGCGTCGCCCCGACGACGGCGCCATTCCTCCGGCCCGCAGCCCGGCCGGCCCGGCCCCCCGCCCCGTACCCGACCTCGGCCCCCAGCGCCGCCCACGGCTAGCTCCCCGAGCTGTCCGAGCCCAGACGCGCGAGTGCAAAATGCGTCGCGCCCCCCGAGATCTGCTCGTCGGCTCCAGGGAAGGGGCGTCGCTCAGTTGCGAATCGCTCCCGCGAGATCTGCTCGCCGGGTCTCGAGAGACCCCGCGCCCTCATCTGGCAGTCCGCGCGCGAGACTCAGGTCCACGGGCTCGCTGCGCTCGGCAATCATATTTTTGCCGCTCGGAACGCGATGCCACCGTCAATCTGCTGCTGCTGCTGCTGCTGCTTGTTGTGCTGCTGCTGCTGCTTGTTGTTGTCGCTGTACTTGTAGTGGTTGTCGCGGTGCTGCTGGTCGCCGTGCTGCCCCTGGTCGCCCTCGTGGTGGTGGTGGTGGTGCTGGTCGCCGTGCTGGTGGTGGGGGCGTTGCTGGTCGTAGTCGTAGTGGTTGTGGTGGTTGTGGTGGTGCTGCTGCTGCTGCTGCTGCTCCTTGTTGTGCTGCTGCTGCTGCTTGTTGTTGTCGCTGTAGTGCTAGTGGTTGTCGCGGTGCTGCTGGTCGCCGTGCTGCACGTGGTCGCCGTCGTGGTGGTGGTGGTGGTGCTGGTCGCCGTGCTGGTGGTGGGGGCGTTGCTGGTCGTAGTCGTAGTGGTTGTGGTGGTTGTGGTGGTGGTGGTGCTGCTGCTGCTGCTGCTGGTTGTTGTCGCTGTAGTTGTAGTGGTTGTCGCGGTGCTGCTGGTCGCCGTGCTGCCCCTGGTCGCCGTGGTGGTGGTGGTGCTGGTCGCCGTGCTGGTGGTGGTGGTGGTGGTGGCGCTGCTGGTCGTAGTCGTAGTGGTTGTGGTGGTGGTTGTGGTGGTGGTGGTGGTGGTGCTGCTGCTGCTGCTGCTGCTGCTGCTGCTGCTGCTGCTGCTGCTTGTTGTCGCTGTAGTGGTAGTGGTTGTCGTGGTGCTGCTGGTCGCCGTGCTGCCCCTGGTCGCCGTCGTGGTGGAGGTGGTGCAGGTCGCCTTGCTGGTGGTGGTGGCTCTGCTGGTCGTAGGCGTTGTGGTGGTGGTGGTTCTGCTGCTGCTGCTGCTGCTTGTTGTCGCAGTTGTGGTAGTGGTTCAAATTGTCGTGGTGTTGCTGGTCGCGTTGCTGGTCCGGGTCGCCATCGTGGTGGTGGTGGTGGTGGTGCTGGTCGCCTTGCTGGTGGTGGTGGCGCTGCTGGTCGTTGTCGTAATGGTGGTGGTGGTGGTGGTAGTACTGTTGTTGCTTGTTGTCGCAGTAGTGGTAGTGGTTGTCGTGGTGCTGCTGGTCGCCGTGCTGCCCCTGGACGCCGTCGTGGTGGTGGTGGTGCTGGTCGCCGCGCTGGTGGTGGTGGCGCTGCTGGTCGTAGTCGTAGTGGTAGTGGTGGTGGTGGTGGTGGTGGTGGTGGTGCTGCTGCTGCTGCTGCTGCTGCTGCTGCTGCTGCTGCTGCTTGTTGTACTGCTGCTGCTGCGTGTTGTTGTCGCTGTAGTGGTAGTGGTTGTCGCGGTGCTGCTGGTCGCCGTGCTGCACCTGGTCGCCGTCGTGACGGTGGTGGTGCTGGTGGCCGTGCTGGTGGTGGGGGCGTTGCTGGTCGTAGTCGTAGTGGTTGTGGTGGTTGTGGTGGTGGTGGTGCTGCTGCTGCTGCTTGATGTTGTCGCTGTAGTTGTAGTGGTTGTCGCGGTGCTGCTGGTCGCCGTGGTGGTGGTGGTGCTGGTCGCCGTGCTGGTGGTGGTGGTGGTGGCGCTGCTGGTCGTAGTCGTTGTGGTGGTGGTGGTGGTGGTGGTGGTGCTGCTGCTGCTGCTGCTGCTGCTGCTGCTGCTGCTGCTGCTGCTGCTGCTGCTGCTGCTGCTGCTTGTTGTCGCTGTAGTGGTAGTGGTTGTCGTGGTGCTGCTGGTCGCCGTGCTGCCCCTGGTCGCCGTCGTGGTGGAGGTGGTGCAGGTCGCCTTGCTGGTGGTGGTGGCGCTGCTGGTCGTAGGCGTGGTGGTGGTGGAGCTTCTGCTGCAGCTGCTGCTGCTGCTGCTGCTTGTTGTCGCAGTTGTGGTAGTGGTTCAAGTTGTCGTGGTGCTGCTGGTCGCGTTGCTGGTCCGGGTCGCCATCGTGGTGGTGGTGGTGGTGGTGGTGCTGGTCGCCTTGCTGGTTGTGGTGGCGCTGCTGGTCGTTGTCGTAATGGTGGTGGTGGTGGTAGTAATGCTGCTGCTTGTTGTCGCAGTAGTGGTAGTGGTTGTCGTGGTGCTGCTGGTCGTAGTGGTGGTGGTGCTGGTCGCCGCGCTGGTGGTGGTGGCGCTGCTGGTCGTAGTCGTAGTGGTAGTGGTTGTGGTGGTGGTGGTGCTGGTGGTGGTGCTGCTGCTGCTGCTGCTGCTGCTGCTGCTGCTGCTGCTGCTGCTGCTTGTTGTCGCGATTATGGTAGTGGTTGTCGTGGTGCTGCTGGTCGCCGTGCTGCCCCTGGACGCCGTCGTGGTGGTGGTGGTGCTGGTCGCCGCGCTGGTGTTGGTGGCGCTGCTGGACGTAGTGGTGGTGGTAGTGGTGGGGCTGCTGCTGCTGCTGCTGCTGCTGCTGCTGCTGCTGCTGCTGCTGCTGCTGCTGCTGCTGCTTGTTGTCGCACTTGTGGTAGTGGTTGTCGTGGTGCTGCTGGTCGCCGTGCTGCCCCTGGTCGCCGTGGTGGTGGTGGTGGTGGTGGTGCAGGTCGCCGTGCTGGTGGTGGTGGCGCTGCTGGTCGTAGGCGTGGTGGTGGTGCTGCTGCTGTTGCTGCTTGTTGTCGCAGTTGTGGTAGTGGTTGTCATGGTTCTGCTGGACGCCGGGCTGGGCTCTGCCGTGGTGGTGGTGGCTGTGGTGCTGGTCACCGTGCTGGTGGTGGTGCTGCTGCTTCTGCTGCCGCTGCCGCTGCTGCTGCTGCTGCTGATGCTGCTGCTGCTGCTGCTGCTGCTTTTTGTCGCAGTTGTGGTAGTGGTTTTCGTGGTGCTGCTGGTCGCCGTGCTGACCCTGGTCGCCGTCGTGGTGGTCTCGGCGGTACTGCTGGCTCCCGTCGTGCTGCTCCCGGTGCTGCTGCTGCTGGAGCTCGTCGAGTTGCTCTCGGTGCCGATGATGCTGGGGTTCGTCCCTCTGCTCCCGGCGGTGCCGCCGGATTTCCTCGTGCTGCTCTCGGAGGTGTTGCTGGAGACAGTATTCGTGCTCTTGGCGGTGCAGCTGGAACCCGTCGTAGTGCTGGCGGCGCTGCTTCTGGAGCCCGTCGTGCTGTTGGCGGCGCTTCTTCTGGCGGCAGTGGAAGGCCCGACCCTGGAAGACGGGACCCCCCTGGGGGTTGTGTCTTCCAGTGCTTGTCTTGTCTCCCTGGGTCGTGCCCCGGGGCCGGGTCCCCTTTCGTCTGGTGGTGGTGCTCCTCCTCCTCCTCCTCCGTTGCCATTTTGGCTCAAGTTGCAGGGCAATCCGCGATTTGAGTGGGCAGCCCAGTTCGGAGCCATCCCAGGTGTCGTGCCTGGGCGGACACTCTCCCAGATCCCGTCTCTGTCGCCCCCAGTTTCCTGACACTCTCCCAGTTCCCGCCATGTCGTCGGTCGAGGAAGGCATCAAGCAGATCCTACAGCAGCTCGGGGGTGTCAACCAGCGTCTGGCCACTGTCGAGTCCTCGATGTCCGCGCTCGACTCCCTCAGAGAAAGCATCACGTCGCACGACAGGAACAGGGCCGCACTCACGCAGAGGATCAACACGATTGAGTCTCGCATCGCCACTTCCTCGGACGCTGCCGCCGTCGCCGCGCTGCGCATCCAGATGGAGCAACGCATGGCTGCGATCGAGTCCTCTCGGTCTTCGCGTCCCAGTGGCAGTTCAGACATCTCAGCCCCCCTTCCTCTCGACGCCGTGCTGGTACGCCTCCCCGTCTATTGCAGGCAGCAGTACCAGCCGCTCACACGATGATGAGTTCAACCCGCTCAAGGTCTGGGTCGGCGGCTTCGCCAGACCCATGCTCAAGGCCTCCCTAGAGGAGCACGGAAGCCTCCTCGTGCAGAGCTTACCTACGCACATTAGGCAGGCAGGCATCGTCATCAAGGGCCACAATCTTGCGACAGCTATTCAATCCAGTTCGCCAGCAAAGTCGACGCGTCCTCCTTCATCGACCACGCTCGTGCCCAAGGCATTTTGTGAAATGACTCCCACTCCAACTCGCAGGTCCAGCTTCGGTGCCGCCGCGATGCCCCGACCTCCGTTCGCCACAAGAACAAGTTCCTCGGTAAGATCTGGCAGCTGGTTAATGCACGCCTTCGGCAGACTGGTCAGCGGAACGACGCCACGCACAAGCTCGGAGTCAACGGGTTCAAGGGCCTCCTCTTCCGCGCGGTCAACGACGTGGTCCACGAGCTCTTCTCCGTTGCTGAGCAGGACGTCGGCCAGTTCACGTCGGCATCGCCACCTTCCAGATCTCGGCCGACCAGGCCAGCTCTATGATCACAGCTGCGCGCTCGTCTTGAACGAGTGCCTCGCCGACCAGGTTTGAGCCAGCCTGCATGGCTGGGGCGCGTGTTCCCTACCCTCCGTCGCCTTCCTCCACCAGGTGTCTGAGCTCATCGGCCGCCTCGTCCTCCTCCTCTGGGTCGTCTGAGTCTTCTACTGGTTCGACCTCTTCGAGTGGGTCCTGTTTACCGTTTTCCTTTGGGCCTTCCTGCTTCTCTCCGTTTCCTGGGGATTGGACTCACTCACCCTTTATCTGGGGGCCTCACTTGAGTATCGTTTCGTGGAATGCTCGTTCGCTTTTTGGAGGCACCCCCTCGACTCTGGGCATTGTCAAACGCAGAATGTCTCGCCTTGTATTCTATGACCAGAAGTTCCAGGTGGTTTGCATTCAGGACGCTACAGGCACCAAGCTCGACCTCCAGAGGGTGTGTCCTGAAGTCCAGGACATTTGGGGTATTGGGTCCTTCTTCGACGACAGGTCTGCGGGAGGTGTTCTCATTTTTCTGCACCCCGATCTTCGCAGTCATTTCCAATACTGTCGCTACTCCGTCCTTGTACAGGGCCGAATTCAATCTTTCACGCTGGGGAGCAGCAGTGGGACGTTGCAGCTTCTCCACATTCATCTCGACCCCTGTCTCGCCCTTCACGACCAGAAACACCAGCTTATGATTGTACGACGTGCTCTACTCCCCCCCTCTGTGGCCACGGGCTTCGTCTTACGTGATTTCAACTTTCCTGCGGCGGGAGAGGGCAGCTTCCATGTCTCGGGCGCTGTGCATTACTCCAGTTCCGACGCCGCCGCTTTCTTCGAGCAGAGCTTCGCTGATCTTTGTGAGGTCGAGCAACCCGCGTTCACGCACCGGGAGACCCAGGAGGAGGAAGGAGGTCAAGTCGTGTAAAGCTACAGTCGTATCGATCGTATTTACACTAACATGTTCAGCGCTACCATTCTTGAATACCGCCCCAAGGCCCTCACCCTGGAGCCCACCTCGAAGGTTGGCAAACTCTCGGACCATGCCCCCGTCTGTCTTAATCTCAGCCCTGGGTCCTGCTGTGGTTTTCGTGTTCCAAGGTGGGTCACCAAACATTCGCAGTTTCCTGTCGCTGTGAGTGATTTACTTTCTTTGGTGGGGCCGCTCTCGGACGATCCGTTCGAAAAGCACTCGCAGACCAAGGACATCCTTGTACAGGCGTGTAAGGACAGCGCTGAGCAGGCCAACAAGTCGCTGGCTGAGAAAGTTGCCTGGTCTCTTTCAGCGCTTCGAGGCACTCTGCGAGGTCAGCTCTGGCTTGTGCGCAAGGCTGTCCTGGCCTACCCCGTGCTGAGCCGCTTCCTCGACCCAGAGTCTGCCATGTGGATCGACGTTCGGAGCTCCCATTCCCACCTGGACAAAATGAAGCACGAGCTCATCTCCCAGCAAATAAGTGAAGTCGAGCAGCAAGCTATTTCAGCTACCCGCAAGCGTGACGTCAAAATCAAGCTTTACAAATACCAAACAGCGTGGGGAAGGAAGCATCGGCGCATTTCCCTATCTGGCGTCTCGGATCCGGCTGGCAAGGCCATCACAGATCCAGAGTGCGTAGCCGCCGAGCTCGCAGCCTACTGGGGCCAAGTACATTCGTGTGTCGACTGCTCAGAAGAGGACCGACAACTGCTTAGTGATTTCGTTCAACCTTGCCCGCCTGAAATCATCTGGAAGCTTGAACCCCAGGAGTTTGCCTGCCTCCTTTCCAAGGTTTCTGACTCTGCCCCTGGTCCCGAAAGCCTTCCGTACAGTTGTTATCCCAAGGAAGGGCCTGCAGTTGTCGACACTCTTTATGGGCTGTATTCCGAGATGCTCGCGAATGGAAGCGCCCTTGTCGGTTTTAACTATGGCATGGCCGTCTTCCTCGCCAAGGGCAGCGACCCAGAGGACACCCCCCAGCACATCATTCGTAATCCCGAGGTCACTCGCCCCACTACTCTTGGGAATTCTGATAACAAGTTGATTTCCGTAGCCCTAGACAGGTCCTTCTCGAGGGTCGCTGCCCAAACTGTGCTTGGCAATCAGCGAGGTTTTATCGCTGGCCGTTTCGTGAACAAGAATCTTATCAACCTTGAGAGTAGGGCGGTGTCTTGGTTTGCCCCGTACGGCCATCAAAACGCGGGGACCATATACTACGATGTTCGGGCTGCTTTCCCAAGCTTATTGCACAGTTTCATATTCGGGGTTCTTCGGACCATGGGTCCTTCCTTCATCATCAATGCCGCGCACGCGTTGTATAATGACGTTAGAATCAACATCAACTTCAATGGGATCCGCAAGGCCTCCTTCGTAGCCCACCGTGGGCTCAAGCAAGGATGCCCTCTCTCAGGCACCATCTTCTGCCTCGCCCTCGACCCGCTCATCCGTTTCATGCTCACCCGTATTCCCAGGCGTCTTTCGTGCTTAGCAGCTTTCGCGGGCGACATCGGCGTTGCCGCTGCTGATGTCTTCTCCGCCTTCCGCGATCGCTTACCTGCGTGGAAGATCGTTGGCACAGCTGCAGGTCTGCACGTCCACCTTAAGAAGTCGGTCATTGTTCCGCTTGGTGACCTCTCCCAGGAACAGCGCCGTGAGAGAATGGTCGCCTCTGGTGTGAGGACAGCCGAGGGACTCACCTTCCAGCGCGCGGGCAAGTATCTTGGAGTATATATTGGGGAAGATTGTCGAAACGCTAGTTGGGGTCCTCCGGCTATGACATGTATCTCGCGGGCTCATGGAATCAAACATGTCGGGGCGGGGCTGTGTAAATCCCTTCTCATGGTGAACATCTTGGCTTTCTCGGTCCTGATGCATGTTGCCCAGTTCTACCCTCCCACGAAGCAGGCCCTTCAGGCTGTTCGTAAAGCGCAACAATGTGCGACCAACGCCCCGAACAATAGCCTCCCCCAGGACCTCTTGCAGCAGCTCCGTGAATGGGGTTTCCCGACTCAGGCTCGTCCTTTAGAGGCGGCAAGTCGCGCAGCCATGTACAGAGCTGCGACCATGCCGCCCGCATTCGACGACGCCAGGGCCCTCTTCGAAGATGAGAGCGATGCTGACAACATGCTCGTGGTATGGAAATGGTCTAAGGTATGGAGGTCCTCAGTCGTATACGCCATGATCACAAACTTTCGTAAGCTCACGTCCATCCCGTCCGTCCCGCCCTTCGGCACTCCCAAGATTCAAGCCGTGACTGAGTCCGCCATCCTCGCTCTGTCTCCGATGTCGTTGCGGTCGATTCTTGAGGTAAGGCTTAAGAAGTTCGGCTCGCCTCCGCCCCCTGCCCAGCTTGATCTTATGTTTATTGCTCTTCAGCGTCTATGCAAGCATGCCCCTGCCTGTATTGTAGCGAATGTTATACGCACGTTTTGCAACTCCTGGTGCACCTCACGTCGATTCCGTGGTGTTACTCTGAATTGTAGATTCTGTGACATGGCCTCAGCCGACTGCCTGCTTCACATTCTTGTTTATCCCTGCTTCTCTCCCGTGTGTCGTCTTCTCCCCTCGCTCCCGCCCTCTTTTGCTTCCGCCTCTGCCTCCGCTCGCGCCTCTCTCTTTCCGCTTCTTCCCCTTTGTCTTTCTCAACTCATCAGTGTCGCCTTGTATATTGATTCGTGCTACACGTGCTACCATGAAGCTAAATGGTGGCCCCGTGTTTCAGAGCCCCGCGAGAGAGAGAGCGTTTGGAGGAGCTGGCCAAAGCCCGCCTCATCCAGCTCCGCAGGCGGGCCTCGCCTGCCACTGTTGCTGCCTTGAGGAGGTGGCGTGTCGTCCGCCGTCGTCGGTCGTCCTCTGGGGCCGTGCACTCCTCCTCCTCCTCCTCCTCTTCCTCCTCCTTCTCCTCCTCCTCCTCCTCCTCCTCCTCCTTGGTTGCACCTCCTCCTCAACCTCCTCGTCCGCTGTCTTCTCGTGTATCTCCTGAGCCTCCTCCTCCTCCCTGGCTCGCTGCCACTGCCCACTTTTTGTACATGCGCCGATCCCAGCGGTGCAGCTGATGGGGTCTTGCTGCCACTGCCCGCCTTTCCCGCGCGCGTTGGTCCCAGCGCTATAGCTGATGGCGTCGGGGTCCACGTTCGCACCCCGCGTCTCGCGGAGCAGCAGCACAGCCCGCTGCCACTGTCGGCCTGTCTCGCAAGCGCTGGTTCCAGCGATGTAGCTGATAGCGTTGGGGTCTGTCGTCGGATCCTGGGTCCCTTTGGGAAGCGTTCTGATATGCTGCCTCTGCCCGCCGTTCCTGCATGTGTCGATCCCAATGTTGTAGCTGATGGCATGTGGGTGTACGTTCGCACCTCGCATCTCTCGCGGAGCCTCTGCCACTGTCCGTCTTTCTCGCACGTGCTGGCCCGCCTTCTCGCACGCACTGGTCTCGGCGCTGCCTCTGCCCAGTTTTCTCGGTAGCGCTGATCTCGGCATTGTATCCGCAGACGTCGAGCGCGATTGTCTTCGCCTCCTCCTCCTCCTCCTCCTCCTCCTCCTCGACCTGGTCCTGCTCGTCCGCTGCCCTTTCCTCCTCTTCTATCTCCTCCTCTGCCGCCTCGCTCTCCTCCCTGGCTCGCTGCCACTGCCGCTGCCCATTTTTCGCACGTGCGCTGGCCCCAGCGATGCAGCTGAAGACGTTGGGCCCCAGTTTGGGAATCAGCAGCGCCATAGCCTGCTGCCACTGCTCCCTTGTCTCGCAGGCGCGGCCGGGTCTGGACTCCAGGCGGGGGTGGGGCGGGCGGGGGACGGAGGCGGGCCCGAACGGCGAGGGGCGAACGACGCGGGGGCAGGGGGCGAACGAGACGGGACCGAGACGAGGGGACAGAAGCCGAGGGAAAGGCGAGGGGAAGGGGCGGTGGGCGTCGTCGGTGTGCGTCGTCGTGCAGGTGCGCGTCGTTGCTGCTGGTCGTTGCAGGTGGTACCCGTCGCTGCTGGGGGTCGTGTTGCCAGTCGGAATTGGTGCTGGTCGCGGTCGTGGTGGTGCTGCTGCTGGTCATGGTCGTGGTCGTGGTGGTGCTGCTGCTGGTTGCGCTCGTGGTAGTGCTGTTGCTGGTCGCGGTCGTGGTGGTGCGAGTCGTGAGGTCGTGGTGGTGCTGGTGGTCGCAGTCGTGGTGATTCTGGTTGTGCTGGTGGTGCCGGTTTTGGTGGTACTACTACTGCTGCTGCTGGTCGCAGTCGTGGTGGTGCTGCTGCTTGTCGCAGTCGCGGCGTTGCTGGTCGCAGTCTTGGTGCTGCTGGTCGCAGTCGTGGCGGTGCTGCGGGTTGAAGTCGTGGTGGTTGTGCTGGTAGTGGTGCTGCTGCTGGTCGCAGTCGTGGTGTTGCTGGTCGCAGTCGTGTTGGTGCTGCTGGTCGCGGTCGTGGTGGTGCTGCTGCTGGTCGCAGGCGTGGTCTTGCTAGTCGTAGTCGTGGTGGTGCTGCTGGTCGCCGTCGTGGTGGTGCTGGTGGTGCTGTTGGTCGCAGTGGTGGAGCTGCTGGTGGCAATCGTGGTGGTGCTGCTGCTGGTCGTGGTCGTGGCGTTGCTGGTGGCATTCGTACCGCTGCTGGTAACAGTCGGGGTGGTGCTGCTGGTCGCGGTCGAGGTGGTGCTGCTGCTGGTCGAAGTCGTGGTGGTGCTGCTGGTCGCAGTCGTGGTATTGCTGGTTGTGCTGGTGGTGCTGGTC